TCAGCTTGAGGCTTACCCTAAAACAGGCAGGACAAATGCTTGCTGAATGAGTGCGGTAGTATTAAAAAGAAAAGCTGGGCTTCCCTGGTGGCTCAAGGGGTTAAAGACAGGGCTATCAAGCTATCGCCAGCCACTGATCCCAGGCCGGCCGGCCAGGGAGCTACCCACATGGCGCAGCAGACCTCTCCTGCCTTGCCTGCTGCTCCCCTAGGCAGTATAATTCAGTACATCTGCCTGTTCTGCGCCCCACTTTCTCTGGTGAATTCACTCACCCCCCTCCCGCATCTCTGGCTTACAACTCAGTTCTTGTATGCATAAATAACTGTTTTTTTTTTTTAAAGCAAGATCTGAATAGCTGGATAAAGGTAATGGCATAGAAGAAGAGGGAAATGAGTTACTAAAAATGAGGAAATGGGACCAAGAGAAAAGGCCAGCAATTTTGAAATTATGATAGGGTATGTATAACATATTTTCACTGTTGTTATGGGACTTTCTTTGGAATGGGACCACACTCTTAAGTCCTGTTCTGCAACTTGCTCTTTTTTCATATAACAGTAAGTCTTAGCAATGTTTCCATGCCATTATTTAGAAATATATCTTTTTCTTTTGATCTGCTACAGGTTAATAAAGAGCATGGGTATATCATCAGGGAAAAGCTGTTCCCTCTGAATGGACATGTAGGTTGTTTCGGTTTTCACTATCACAAACAATGCTGCAATGAACATCTTTGCATATGTCTGGAAGTAGTTTTGAAGGATAGATTCCTAATGAATCGCTGGTCTGAGGAATGCCCATTTTGCTTAAAATATAGAGAAGTCATTTCTGTTGCTTTAACATGTTCATAGACTGGCTAAAAAAGACTATTTCCACTCATATAATCTTGTCTTTATTTTCAGAAGTGTACATCATACAACATATACATCTGAGGAGGTGGCATGTATAGTGTTGTAAACCAATGTTACCTCAAAAAAAAAAAAAGAAAATATGATAATTACCTATATTCCAACACTGAGAATTAAATCACTATTTTTCTGGCAAAACCCCCAAAAAGTTGGTTGAGAACAATGGATACCCACATCTGATAAAATACTATTTTCCAACTATCCTACAAGGGCATGTGATTAAAGAGGTGCACAGTATGGCTTATATTTGCAGTTGGAGTTGAAATGTTTTAGAAAAGGCCTCTGGCTGGCCCAATTGGGGTCTATCTAGTAATAAAACCTTCGAGAAATCTAGCTCTAAGACAAGGTTCTCAGTTTGGAAGAATACGCACATTTAAGATTCTGGTGAAAGCTAGCAAATTGATCCTATAAAAAAAGGACCTATTTGCATTTCAGCCAAGGCATATGAAGATTCTGTTTCCTCACAAACCTTTCAATTGTTTACATTTTGGTTCTTTAAAAATGATATTTAATTGTTTTAGTTACATGTCTTTAGTTATTAGAAAGCTTGAGCACCCTTTCTCATTTATTAGCTAATTGTCCTAATTTCTCTTCTGAATTATCAAATCATATTATTATTTCTCCATTTTAGGTGGATTGTGTATGTTTTTCTTATTGATTTTCAGAGACATTTGCCTTTGCTTCATATCTACGTAGCAAATACTTTTTTCAGAGACTGCTGTTTATGTTTTCACTTTGTATATCTCTTTCTCCACACAGGAGATAATCATTTTAATGCTGTTGAAATTACTGCTCTTTACTTTGTGGCTTCTGGATTTTAAAGTCATGCTCAGGAAGGCATTGTTACCTCATACTATAGACATATTCTAGATTTTCCTCTGATACTATTACACTTTTGTTCCTGTCATTTTTCTTGTATGAGGTAGAGGTTTGACTTAATTTATTTCCCAAATGGTAGCCAATAGTCCCACCCTTTTTATTGACTCCACACTGATTTGTAGTATGTTTTTTATCATAAATTAAATTCCCTTATGAATATATGGGTTTGTTTCCAAACTCTCTATTTTGTTCATTTATGTATACTTCTATTTCTGTGATGATATAATATTTGTAATTACTGAGATTTTAAGTTTCTCTAATGGGGCAGGTCCCCTTCATTTTTCATTTTATTCGAAGTTTTCTAAGTAACTCATGGGTAATTTACTATACCAAATTAACTTTTAAACAATTTTACCCAATTCTGAAATGTTAATGGGAAATGCATTGAACTTTCTAACCAAACTGGGAAAAGAATCAGTTTTTCCATATTGAATCTTCCCACCTAGGAATAGGACACACCTTTTGATTTATTCAAGTCTTCTTATAGCCTTTTATGACATTTTATAGTTTTCTACAAAGAAGTATTTCATACTTGTTGTAAATTCCTAAGAATGACATATATGTAGTGGATGGAATATTTTTCTATTATGTCTTCTAATTAGTCATTGCTGGTATTTCAGAGAAGCTAAAGATTTGAATGTATATTTATCTTTCTGACTCTTTCTAATAATAATTTCTGACTGTTTCTAATATTTATACTACTTATTTCATTTTTTAACCCCAGTGAATAAAACTTCCAGAAAAATTTTGGCTAGTATCAGCAATAACAGTCATCCTCACTTTGCTCCTGAATTTAATGGAAATTTATCTAGTACTTCATTGTTACATTTGATGATTGTATTGGTTTCTGATATAAATCCTTTTCCAAGTTAAGGAGGTTTTCATTGATTCCTGGCTTACTATATTAGTTAAATACCGCTGAGTAACAAATTATCCCAAGTCAGCAAGAGATAACTAAAACCCTAAGAGTTTTAAAATTCAAGAATGGATGTCTAGGGCCTCCCCGCTGGCACAGCGGTTGAGCGCTGGGTTGCGAAGCTGCCCGCAGCCACTGCAGCTCTGGTTCGATCCCAGGGACCTACATGGCGCGCAGACCTCTCCTGCCGCCCGCTGCTCCCCTCAGCAGTGTACTTTGGTCCTTCTGCCTGCTCTGCAACCCGCTCTGGCTCTGGTGAATTCTCTCACCCTCCTACACTTCTGACTGTACCCAGTGTTTGTATGAATAAATAAATAAATCTTTAAAAAAAAAAAGAATGGATGTCTAATTTTCTCAGATTACTTTTTAGCATATGGAGATAAAGGTTTATATTTCCTCTTTAATCTATTAATGCAATGAATTACAATAACAGCTATCTTAGTATTCACCAATCCCTGTACTCCTGGGACAAACCTTCATTTGTCATGATACATTACTCAATACACTAATGGATACAGTTTGAGAATCTTCTATTTAAAATATTTGCTGCTCTATTAACATATGAGATTAAAGTTTTCCCTTTACTTGTCTAAACCTGTTCTAGTCTTCTAGAATGAACTTGGAAGCTGTCCATATTTTATTATGTGATCTTCAAGATTTAGTAGGACTTCCATCAAACTAGAACTTCAATTATACTAACTATGCCTGGTACCATTTTAGAGGAGAAAACGTTGGTCATCTTTTTAATATCTTCTACAGTGTGCTATTCCATTCAGGTTTTGTGCTGCTCTTTGAGTCATTCTGGTAATTTACATTTTCCTAGAAAACTACCCTTTTATCTAGATTTTCATGTTTATTGGTGTAAAAGTATCCAAAGAATTTATTTTTTAAAAAGATTTATTCATTTATGCATACAAGAACTGGGGTACAGGCCAGAGGTGCAAGAGGTGAGAGGATTCACCAGAGACAGAGTGGGGAGCAGAACAGGCAGATCTACTGAAATACACTGCTGAGGGGAGCAGCAGGTGAGACAGGAGAGGTCTGCTGCACCACGTGGGTAGCTCCCTGGCCGGGCATAGAACTTATGCTGCAGTAGCTGTGGATTGCTTCATAATGCTGACTCTTAACCCCTTGTGCCACCAGGGAGGCCCCTATCTTTTTCTTTCTGACTTATTTCACTTAACCTACCCCCAGCCCCCTGCAGTTCCATCCATGTTGTTGCAATTGGCAAGATTCTATATTATTTATAATTGAGTGGTATTCCTCAACCTCTTGATTCAGTCACCCCCTCTTTGGGCACATAGGTAGTTTCCATATGTTGGCTATAATGGATAGTGCTGCAATGAACACTGGAGTGCATATATTCTCCTGAGTTCATGTCTTTCATAATCTTCCAAAGAATTTATTTATGACTTTTTGTCTCCTCAGAACCTATGGTAAAGTCCTCTTCATCATACTTTATGTTTTCATGCCTTTTCCTCAGTCATAGCTGCCAGAACATAGTCTATCTAGTTTAATGGTCTTTAAAAAAAAAACAAAACTACCTCTTAGTTTAACAAAGCTTTTTTTCCTATTTCATTAGCTTCTGGTTTTATCTGTAGTAATTATTTTGCTTTCTTTTGGTTGTTCTTTTTCTAGATTCTTGAGTGAAATAATTAATTTAATTTAAATTGGCTTGTTATCTGATACAAGCATTTAAGAATACAAATTTTCCTCTGGGGAGCCCCCCGCCCCATGGCTATATCCCATAGATTTTGATATATGGTATTCTCATTCATATTTATTGTAAATAGTCTATAAATTCCATTCTTATTTCCTCTTTAACACAATTACTCTTGGGAGGAGGGCCTAGCCTTTTAGCCACTGCTGTTAGTCTTTAATCCTATTGCATTAGCATTATAAAATGTGAAATGTTTTTCCAAGTAACTTGGAAATAATGTTATCTAAAGATGTGGGCAGATTTTTCCTTCTGCCTAAAAGACTTTCCCCATCCTATCCAACTGGCAAACTCTTACTCACCCTTCAAAACAGCTCACACTTTACATATTCTAGCATCAATCACTCCTGCTTTGGGGAGTGTGGGGCAGATATCTAGGGAAGGATTATTTTTAAGGAAGGATAAACTATAGACTCTGAATGTCCTCTTTAGGCCCTGACCTGGTCACACAGTCACTCACCTCACATGCTCAGACACCCATTCCACGATCACTCCAGGGTCTAGAGGAAGATGGGGGTGGGGTCTGGTAATGATATTGAATGTTTATCTGGAAGCGGGGAGGAATTGGGATGGGTCTAGCTCTTACCTGCTATCTGCCAGCCTGACTGAGGGGGTAAGCTTCATGGAGTCAAGGACCTGAGTAGGACAGCAATACTGGTGTAGAGTATGAGACGCTGTGGACCTGAGAGACAGTGAGAGACAGAGAGAGAGAGACAGAGAGAGAGACAAGGAGGGAGGGGAGAGGCAGGGTGGGGGAAGAGGACAAGGAAGTAAGAAGTGAATGGGGAGGGGAAAGGGGAAGACTGGGAGAAACAGGTTGTAGAGGACAGGGAATGGAAGAAGAGGAATGGAGGGGCAAGGGGGGAGGGGAAGAAGGGAAGGAGGAGAGAGGGAGGGAAGGAAAATGGAGAGAGAGAGAGGGAGGGAGGGAGGGAGGGAGGGAAGAATGGAGGGAGGGAGGGAGGGAAGGGTGGAGGGAGGGAGGGAGGGAAAGGTGGAGGGAGGGAGGGAGGGAGGGAGGGAGGAGGGAGGAGGGAGGGAGGAGGAAGGAAGGAAGGAAGGAAGGAAGGAAGGAAGGAAGGAAGGAAGGAAGGAAGGAAGAAAAAAAGAAAAAAACCACAGTCAAGAAAGAGAGGACGGCACTCGAACCACAAACAGAACACAATGACAACAGGGGGCAGCAGAGACAAAAGAGCTGGGCTGGGCCTCCTGTGTTCCAGGTGACTCCGTGGTGGGGACCTCAGCCACAGAGACACCGGGACACCACAGCAGGGAAGGGGGAAAGGAGCCCTCCTCACACCAGACGCCACAGGGTAGGGAAGAGGGAAAGGGATGAAAGAGAAAGGGAAAGATGTTTAGGGGGGCTCCCACTTATAGAAGACCCCTCATAAGAAGGGAGGGAAGAAGGGAGGAAAAGAGGACAGGCTCTGAGTCTAAAATGAGAACCCAGGCCAGGGGAATGGAGGAAACACTGTAGGAGGAGAGGGAGAGAGACAGAGAGAATCTGAAAGAGACAAGGAAAGGGAGAGACAGAGAAGGAGAAAGACAGTGAAAGACAGAGAGAGGGCAAGACAAAACACAGAGAGAAGACAGGGGAAAGGCATAGTGCCAGAGCAAAGGAGAGGAGAGGCGAGGTGGAGGAGAGCTGACAAGGTCTCAGTGGTCTTGGTGACAGGATGGGACTTCAGGCTGAGTGGGCAGGTCGGGCCCAGTGGGCCAAAGGATAGGGAAGGTGAAGCGGGACATCCTTTTCCCCCTAACACTTCCAAGGCCAGTGCTGCGCCCCCAACCCAGGGCAAGGCCCACGCTCCACCCTCCCCACACCCCCACCCCCAGCCCCAGCGCTGTGCCCCCACCCCTAGTGCAGAGTCCAAAGGCTCATGTGCCTCCTGCTTCCTGGGATTAAAGTCCAGAGAATGGGGAGTGAATAGAGGGGCTGGAGGACAGTGAGACCCAGGGCCTGATCCCTGCCCTACCCCAAACAGGGCAGATGCTGGGAGTGGAGCTGCCCCTCCAGGTCGCCAGTCCCTGTTCCCCCCACACAAACCCCTGAAGGTAAACTATGGTCAGGGCCATTCAAGAGCCCAAGTAACGGCTAGGCCTGTGGCTGCAGGCCAGGTCAACTGACCACTATTTCACTTGCTGTAAATTTGACGGTGCCCAAATCTCAGAACCTTACAAATAATATTTGAATCTGAGATTCTTCTCATCAGAGACTCTGGAATACTTATCATCAGAGCAACTGTTTCTCAAATGCCATCTATGTGCCAGTCACCAGCCCAAGTCCTTGAGTGTTATCTCATTAAAACCTGAACCTGGAGCCCCTGAGGCTGCTGAAATGTTGGTATCAGAGTTTCTCAGCACCTACGGGGAGCCCTGCAGTGCCAGGCCAGGACAGCCACCGATCACACACCCATCACCATGCTGCTCAGGGCTCCAGGGTCCTTATGGTGTTGAGTACCGGCTGCACAAGGGCTTACCCACTAAAGCTGGCTCCCTCCCCCAAGCCAAATGCCTCCAAGAATCCAAGAGGGAAGACAGGAACCAGGAAGCCAGGAGGTTGCTGAATCAGCAGCCCAGAGACCCGGTCCAGGTCTGGGCAGGGAGAGAGGCCAGGCTGTGGGGTTGGGGGTGGGGGGCAGACTCCTACCTGTTGCTCCTTCCGGGGGGCTCCATAGGTCTAGACCTGTCCAGAGGGCAGGCCCCCTGGCCCAAGCGGTGACTCTACTGTGTCACCAGCCCCTCCTCCCTAGGCCTTCCCTAGAAGGAGGAACCAGGGAGGCGGGGCCAGGCCAGCTGGGCCACAGGCCAGACTGCAAATGGAAACTTTGCTCCTTCCCCTGCTTCCCCAGGAGGGCTGGGAACTCCTACTAAGCAGCAGCTTTGAGAGCAGCAGTGATTCCTCTGGGCCAAACCCCAGGTTGGACTCCCTCGGAGTACATCAGCTGGAATCTTCCCCAGCACCCTGTCAAGTATGTGTCACTATTTCTATTCTGAAGAGAACTGAGATGGAGAGAGGACAAGTAGAATGGGGCACCAGTAATAAAGCTGGTTAGTGGCAGAACCTTGAGATCGGGACCTAGTTTGACCATTCTCATATCTGGAATCTTGTCCCCATGGCCATACTGTCCCCTTGTGAATACAGAAACCTCATATTTTGGACAGAGTTAAAGAGACTCTCTTTGGTCATTGTTCCTGGATGCTACAGATCAAGTAAAATTCAAATCACCCATTTTTGGAAATCAAGATGAGGACTTGGTCAATACTCTTTCCCGCTGCAACAAATTCTTACTCTCTTCTATGTTTTTTTTTTTTCTGGACTAGGGAAATGCTCCCTGAAGAGACAAGCAAAAATCAGAAGAAATGCCACAATCAAGAGGTTGTTCTTCCAAGGAAATTGTCCAACCTGGTTGTATAGTTGGGGAAATTGATGCCTCGAGCAGGGGGATGTCTTAAGAAAGGTCACATATCAGAGCAGAATCCAGGTGTGCCGACTCCCCACAACCTATCACAGTAATCTCTCCTTGATACAGGTGGGGCTGGAGAAAGGACAGAATTTGGAGGATTTGAGAAGGATGTGGGGTTCCTGAAGAGTTACATAGATCCAGCTCAAAGCACACCTTTCCTTTCGCAGCCGCAGACTCTGGCCCTTAGCTGTTCTGAGCAGACGGCAGCCTTGGGAGGGGCCAGCGGGCCAGTGATCTGGAAGAAATAGGAGTGGACAGGCAACAGCCCAGCCTTCCTGCCTTCCTGCCTCCCTGCTGGGTCAGCTGGTTCTTCTCAAGGAAGCCAAAGCCGATGAGAGGGATAGGCCCTCCAGACCACCACAAGTTGGCACCTGCGGGTCCTCTGTGGCCTTCTCTCCCTCGGTCCATATCATAGAGCCCGCAGTCCTCAGGGCTCTAGCCTCAGCCCCTGCTTTTCCTTTCTCCTTCAGGAGCTAGAGGACTAGCTCCTGTGCAGCTGCTCTTGTGAGCATTTGCAGTTATTGCCTTAAGAGCTGCACCTCTGGGGCTTCCCTGGTGGCGCAAGGGGTTAAGACGCAATCTATGAAGCTGACTGCAGCCATTGCAGCACGAGTTCGATACCAGGCCAGGAAGCTACCCACATGGTGCAGCAGATCTCTCCTGACTGGCCCGCTGCTCCCCTCAGCAGTGTATTTCAGTCAGTCTGCCTGTTCTGCTCCCCACTCTGTCTCTGGTAAATCCTCTCACCCCCACACCTCTGGCCTCTACCCCAGTTCTTGTATGCATATATAAATACATCTTTAAAATAAAAAGAGCTGCACCTCTGGTCCAGAACTTCCTCTTGTCCTGCTAGGAGTTGAGAGAAAGAAATTCCAGTCCTGGCTCTATGAATGATGTGTGTGACCTGGGGCAAGCCACCTACCCCTCTCTGATAGGCAACATGTGCCTGGTAGAATCGGGTACAAGTTCACTTGGGTAACTTCTCTGTGGCCCTGTGTGTTCATCTATAAAAAAGTGAGTGACAATTCCTACCTCATGGCTGCTTGTGACGATTCAGTGAGATGAACATGGAATGTGATGAAGAGTTTCAGCACGAGAGAGTCTGCCCTTCTCCCAGGGAGGCAGGGGAGACCCATGAGAGCCCTTTGTTTCAAGGATAGGAGGATTTCTAGGAAAATATCCTTTAGTAGCCACTCTTGGAATTCATATATATCTGGGTATGTTGAGTAGATTCATGATGACCTACCAATGGCTGAGGGAAGAAGGAACTAAGGGTGAGGGTCTTGGCCCAGTCACAGGACACCGGCAGGCCATTCACCTGTGCATGGGGCACAGGGCTGGAGCTGGATACAGCAGTGACTCAAGTCAACATCCTCTTTTCATGGAACGTATACTTGAGAGAAGAGACAGCCAGTCAACAACTCATGGATTTAAGCCGAGTAAACCATGGGGTTAACATGTTCCAGGCAGAGCAAACAACTTGGGCAAAGGAGTTGAGATGGTATTTCCAGGATCTGCAAAGAGGCCAAGGTGGGTGAGAGGTAAAAGCAAAGGGGAGAGAGGCAAGAATGGAAACACAGGTAGAGTGCAACTGTGCATAGCCCTGGCAGGCACAATAAGGCTCGAGTATTTATACCATGAGCAACTGGGCAGCCTGTGCTTCATATATCGGCAGTAGAGGGAGTGTCCCCTGAAGTTGTACGAAAAGTATTAAAGAGTAAGGACACATTTCTGGGGAGTGCAAGTTTTCATCAAATCCTCAGATGGGTTTGGTATCCCAAAAGGGCAGGGAGCTCCTTTTATGATTCCATTCACAAAACAGCTACTATGAGCTAGAGGCAGGCATCCTAGAAACTTGTGTGAGCTGGCCCTTTCTCCAACTAGCCATCTCTGCATCTTCAACCTGTGCTCTGCCCAGACAGAGTGCTTGCAATTGCCTGCCACTCTGATGTCCAGGGCTCAACTCTGCCCCAAAGACTTTTCCCCACCACTGTGGCCCCTACTGCCAACTGCCTGCCTGCTCCCCCTCCCTTGTTCTGTACAAGTCAGTTCAGAGCTTATGCCTCTGGGAACCTGCCCTGACTCCTCCCTTTGAGATAACTACCCTGAACTTCTCTCACATTGTCTTTCACACTGTTGACCCTTCTAAGCCAAGAGCTCTGTGGGGACAAGGGCTGTGTCTTATTCATCCCAGTGTTCCCAGCATTGGGTACAGGGCACCTAGTCACAGGTCATTAAATTTTGGTGGGCGACTACCCATGCCAAGGTGGAGGCTGCAAGATGGGCTGGTGGACACTAGAGGGCACTGTGGTCAATGGAATGCTGACCTGATGCTGGTCAGGCGAACATAGTTTGCCTCAGAGTGCCCCACCCCCCATTGCCCCTGTACAATGTTTCTAAGCGCCCAGGAAACATGAAAGCTCTGGGTTTAATCAACTAGGTCTCCATTCCAATTTCCCAATTTACCTTCTGCCCTATTTCCAGACCATTCTCATGATGGCACCATCTTACTGCAATTATGGCTAAAAGTTCTTCACAAATGTGGGTGCCAAACATGCACCACTTCACCTTATCACATCCCCTCCCCTCAGCAGGCTAACATCTACTCATCTTCCAAGTCTCAACTTAGATGTCAGCTTGGAGAAGCCTCCCTCACCCTCGAGCTGGGTTGGGTGTACTGAGATGTGCTCCCACAGACCTGAACTTCCCCAGTAATCCTCTGTGGCTATTTCCTGGCCCATAGCCCAATCAGCAAGTGAGCTTCCTCTGAGGGGGCCTCTATCATTCATCATTGTGTCAACTGCACTTCATTAAGCACAGAGCCTTGCACATTGTAGGTACTTAACAAATCACAAGTAGGTGGTGCGTGGATAGGTGGATGTTCTACAGCAAGTCACTTTACCCTCTCTGGGTTTCAGTTTCCCATACTTGGCATGTCGGCCAGGAGGATTTAAGATAATGCATGTTGTGTATCAAGTGCTCATCCTGGTACCTAACACACAGCAGACATTTTCTGAATCAAAGCAATTATTAATGCTTGGAATAGTAAAAAAAAAAGGGGGGGGCGGATAAAGGGCATGTTGAAGGAGACTGCCTTGAGCCTGGGATGATCTCTCCCAGTCAGGTTTACCAGTTACATACAGAAGATGTCTTTAACAACAGTAAGAAAACTATGATTTTATTAAAAATAACAACACCTGCTCTGTGCCAGGTCAGAGACAGGAGGCCTCTAGTAGCTGGTGGGCAGCCTCTAGTCTCAGTCAAAGGATGCCAGGCCAAGGCTAAGGTCAGAGTCATGGGCATTGCCCCTGCATCTGGAGAACAGTCATTACGGCCATAGCTGGTTCCAAACTCTTTACTCATAGGTGAAAACTTGTCTAAGGGGGTCATTAATTCCCTCTGTAATTAATGTAAAAAATGCAGGGTTTGTACTAATGGAAAAGTCAGCTCAAGCGTCAAGCTGATAATATTGATAATGTGCGTCTGTAATTATACACTGCAGATAACTATAAATTCAGTCACTGCACTAATAAAATGTAAGAATTCCTGAAGCAACCAAGAACTTGATAGCAGCTGTACCATGAGCAGCTTTATGCCAGTTGTTCCAAAGCTATGAAAATCACCACTGTGGCAGTAGTGGTAACATTCACGGTGCACTTAAATGTTGTTTGGACACAAAATATGGGGACATTTTTAGGTGAAATGGCATGTTGATGCAAGAGCATGGAACTTGGAAGCATAGTGAGCCAAGGTCAGCTTGGATTAGAACAGGAACCCAAACCTCAATGAATGGTCAAGCTGACATTTGTGGGCCTTGAAGCAGGTACCCCCTCCCCTCCAGTCTGACCTCACTGCTCGTTATGAAAAAACACCCAGAACCAGGTATTTGACACTCTACCTTCACCCATTTCCAAGAGAAGCAACTCCCTTCAACAGCCCCTTGTCCTCGTGCATGTTGCCACAGGTTAGACAGAAATGCTAGAGCATTTCTACGTGGGGATAGGTCCTGAAGCTGGGAGGTCACATAGCTTCCAGGCTGGCAGCCACTGTCAGGCTATGTGAAAACAGAGAAGTTAGTCCAGAGAGAAGAGTCAGTGACAAAGAGATGACAGAGACCAGGCAGGTCATCAGAGATAAAAGAGGAGAGACATGGGCCCCCAAGATACAGAAAGAGGGTAGTCTTGATCCTTGACTTCTTGGCCCCACTTCCAGCTGGCATGAGGTCTGGCCATATTCCATTTACTGTTCTTAGATTCTAGGAGATGGAGCCTCACAATAGT